ATAAACCCTCTCACTGGAGAAGTGGAGGAAGAGAGGGGGTGAGCGAGGGAGACGAGCTACAGCTGACAAAAGCTTCGATTTCCTCTCCTGTTTACTAAGCGTGGATATTTTCCGCCGGTCAGCAGCGCCTGCATAATGCCATTTTTGTCCCTGCTGAAATACACTCACGAGCCTATCGCAGTAATCAAGAGAATCCCTTCCCCCATCTACCTGAGTCTAATGTCAGCCTGTAAATGAAGCGGCCTGACTTCCATTTCAAACTGCATGTGATCGATAAGTGCTGAGGAAAAGCAGCCACGCTGCTTCCTCTTCCTTTCTCTGTTCCCTCTCAAGCCTTGAAAGTACTAACAGCAGTGAAGGAGGTCAGAGAAACAACTTAAGCAGTGACATAGCATCTTTGTATTTATAAAATGTGCAGTAGTGTAAATATCACTCTGTGCTGCCCTGTCTGACTGTTTAAAAGACAAGCCTTTTTAGTTTTCTGCCACCAGCTTTGAACAAGAGTCCAAAATGAGCTATTGTTATATTGTTTTCTGTAAAATTATGTTTAAACAACATTAAAATTTCCTTAACTACACTGAAAAAAAAAACATTTAAGGAAAGTGGTTGCAAACTATTTATTTTAGCTACATCAAAAAAAATGCTGAAAGTTAGTCAACTAAATTTGTTTATTTAAATGTAGCTAAAATAAATTGATTGCAACAGTTTCTGTTAATGGAACAGAACTTATCTACTACCAGCAAGCAACTAACACTATAATACTTTTGTATGTCGATATTAAAGGTACACCACAGAGGATTCCTTTTTAAAAAATGAATTATTCAGCCAGTACATATAAAGTCACCAGAGTTGTGCGGCATGAAGAACTGTAAAAAAAAAAAAATTTTAAATGCAATGATCAAATTTGAATTAAGGCAGCAAAAAGGATGCAGAATTGCAATTCCAATTTGAAGGAAGCATGCATTTTTACTAGAAAAGACAAGACAAACTTTGAAAGATTGTTTGTCAAAGCCCTGGCTAAAGAAACTTAAAACATCTTATATTTAGAAGGTTTTATAGGCCTTTAAGAAAAATGTATTTATTGCAAATCTATTGCAATTGTATGTTTTAACCACAGATTGCGATAGAGAGCCCAAAATTCCATAGCGTACCTTTAACATACAATCGCTACATCCAAAATCGCATACTTCCCTACTATATAGCAGGCGAAAACAGTATGCGAACAGATTCACAGTATTCATTAAACAATAGGCGAAAAGTACCCAGTTTACTACTTCCATGATTCTGAAGTACATATCTGATGGACACTTTACTCTCCCATGAAGCCATGGGAGAAGATTTGTGAAAGGCGGTGAAGCAAAGTAACTGACGCAGATAGGTCACATGACAATGGCAACAATAGAAATGTAGTAAGTCCGGATTTCATTCATACTACATGCATTTATACTATATAGAACATACTTTTTTAATGGTTATAAAGTCATTACATATTCAAAATGAAGTGCGTGCTCAGAGAGTGTGCAATTTTGGACGAAGTCAATGTTTCCAAATGGGTCAGGTGTTTACTCTATAATTTGCATGTCTACTTAAACCAATTTTACTTGTTAAGGTTGATTTGTATACCAATTGCTAGCACAGTAGGCGGGCATTACCGCATTGACAGAATAACCAGCCAATCACAATGAAGTGGAAGCATCACTCTGACATGTTTATGCCTGCATTTTGCCATTCCCAAGTCTGAAACTTCATAGGTTTATCCTGTCACTTGTGTACTTGAAAGGGCAGTCACACTAGACTTTGAGCACATAAAATTTCTTCGGACACTGCAACTGTCGTGGTATGATCTCAAACTCAAAAGCATCTTTTTTTTTTTTTACAATAAATGTAACATATAACAAATATAAAAATAAACCCAAATGTTATACACATATAATTCACTTTCCTGCAACGCTACAAACCTGCAACTTTAAAGTTTGTGTTCATTTAATTCAGCTAAGAGGTCACAAGAGGTTTGTAATATTTGTTAAAATTTTGTACTGTTCCTCATCCAAATCGCTTGCTTCTTCTGAATAAAAAAAAGTATTTGCATGTCTGGCCACATCTGGATGTGGTAACAGAACCAAACAAAATTTTCCTCGGCTGCCCTTGTCAAGTCGCAACACTATCACTCAATCACCTTTTATGAGCTTTATATTAACAAAAGTCATCGCTAAATCTACAGAGCAAACCGGGGGACACATGGGGGGTTGGATGTCTTAAAGGAAACGGCCTAGACTTCATCTCACAACGCTCACGCGGGGTGTATATTGGTTTTCTGCTCTACACCGATACACAGTATGGTTTTTATGGCACCAATATCCTGGCTCGTGAAATGCATAATCCTGCAAGGATTCCACAATGATCCCGAGTCCAAAGTTCACGCAGGGTTTTTAATCAAGTTCTCAGCCTCCTCACTCTTGGTGGGAGAATTCAGAGCAAATCTGATTTCTTCTTCACTCTTCTTCACCGATTTGTTGTCCTGAAGCCTTGATCGGCGGTCAGACTCTATATTGTGCCTGGAGCTGCTCCGTAATTCTGCTCTGGTCAGACCGAATCAATTCTTTAGCCTCTCTTCTACCACTGATTGCTCACCACGAAGAAGGAAATTGCGCAGCAACTCGGGTCCTGATTACCTCTTAGTGCACCGTTGTGTCAAGTCAAGTCCAGACTTGTTAAAATTCATCTCGGCCTCTGTCCAACAGCACTAATAACAGCTCTCACACCACCTATGGTTCAGCCAATAAGGAAGCCTGCAAGACTTCAAATTAGTAAACTGACATTTTAATGTGAAGCCATGGGGAAAAAAATAATAGCATAAAAGACCATGCCTAATAGTTCTTTTGATCAAAAGGTATTCACAGGGAATTTTTCTTTAATTAATTTCTACAATGGTAGCAAATTGCTTGGGGGGAACATTGCACAATTTGAAACCTCCAAATTGTAAGGCACTGCACCTAGCATTCATGTGTGATTTGTCTTTTTCCCTGTGTGAGGGCTTTATTGATTGACAGCATAAAGAGCAAACAATAAAGTAAAAATGTTCTCGGCTCACTTTTGCAGAGCCTTCCATCAAAATGTTCCCAAATCAGGCAATTCGAACAAAACACAACAACTAATCTAATCTCGCTTCGTCTGAGAAATAATTGTCAGTTTAGTTCCCCTATTAAACACAACAAGCTGATTGCTCTGATTGACTTGCAGTCCCTGCATTAAAAAGCATGTCCGCATTTATTCCCGTTTATTTCAAATCACACAGCTGTCCCTTGACTTATTACCTTTAGGCTAGTCTTCATTATAAAACAAATACATTATCTCTGACAAAAGAGTTCAGATTCGCCATTGTTAACATGTCCGTCTGTGGTTTAGGAGTATTCTCAGTAGATCAGTCCCAGTACTGTACTATGTGTCATGTGTCATTGACTCGCCCCGGATCAGTACAGAGCGTGTACAGGGTTGTAATGCATGCTACCTTTAGAACGGCGCTTGTCCCGGGACCCCTCCGGGGTTAGCGATGCTCTGCCACTGTGCATTTTAATAAAGGTCAGCTAGCTTATAAACCCTATTCATTAGTCACTTTCTGCCATTAATTCAGCAAGCCCAACTACAGTGTGAGTGTTTGTCAGCTCTGCTGAGATTTCTGAGACACTGTCTGACTGCTTTGCTCCCAAATTGATAAGTTGTAATGTCGCTGCAATCATTCACAGCATGAACAGTTTTGGGGGAGCTAAGCTAAAGCTAATACGAAGTAACAACAGAATGTGCCCATACTGTAATGATTAGTTTAAGATGGCTACAAGAAACATAATGGCCTCAAATGTATTTCAATCATGACAAATCTCTGAAGATTTAGCATGGTGATGGATATGACAATGTTAATGTATTTGATCGTGGCGGAATAGATCTGCTACGCTGCTGCTGCTGTTGGTTATTGCTGTAGTTGTAGATTATTGCTGCTGCTGCAATCAAGTACAGGAACTTGCTACTGCCAATGCATATGACGATACGGTGCTGAGAGTATTTAAGACATAATACTGCTGCACAAATAGCATATAAAATAACCTGTAGCAGATCTATACAGGTGGAGCTGGGGAAGGTGGAGGGTTTCAGAGAAACTCACAAAGCGCGCTGCAGGAATCTCAAGTGAATGCTAGCCAGCCATATAAATGCAAGGCAGTAAGCTCATTGGCTACATATGCAGCATGAACCAATCAGCTTGTGCCAAGTTGTTTAACTCTCTGAATATCATCAGTTACAATAACAACCTGTCAGCCTGCGCCATCTAGAGTTTCATGACTGAACTATATATTTGGACACTTAAGCAACATCTACAAAGTGCATCTAAATATATGATCTAAAATGCAAATGCATTTATATTTACATTATGTAATAAAATATTCAAGAAAGTAGCAAATATTTTCAATAAAATTATTCAAATGACAGGGTTCTCACACTTTCTGATCAATTGCTGAGCACTTTCTTTTCTAGTTAAATGTTACTGAAGAATATAAAAAAATAATTTTAAAAGGTCTAAAAAAATCACTTTCTAGATGTACGTCTATACATCAGAAAAATATTCACAAAATAGAAATTATGTGGAGCAACTTGCAAATCAAACTTACAATGAATTTCATTCTCACCTAAAAACGGAAAAGATTTAGATAATTTCCATGTTTTCTTCAGGCCTATAAATAAATAATTAATGTTCAAAATTAATTGGATGGAGACTACAGACAGTGCTGTTATAGTAAACACCGATAAACTTTCGCAAGGCAAAGCAGTAAGTACATTTTGTTCTCAAAGTCTGATCAAAACAGAGTTGTCCATCAAAGCTAGCCTACCTCTCTCAGTAAATTACCCCTGACTCTGGGTCAAAACCATCCCAAACTTTTGTCAGACTGTTGAAAGGTGAAGTCTATTTATCTGTGATTTAAAAATGGAACAAAGTATGAGAAGAAACACACCGTAGACAATCACAGTAGCCGAGGAGCTCTTTCGTCGAGCCACAATGTTCTTGGCCACGCAGGTGTAGTTGCCTGTGTCGGCCAGGCGGGCTTGTTTGATGATGAGATTATGGTCCACGGTGATGAAGAAATTGGGGTCAGTCTTGGGGTCGATCAGCTCCTCATTTCTCTGCCACTCCACCTAGAGATATACACAAGAGAAAACATTTCACAGCTTCAATCTGGCTCAAACGGATGGAAAACACTCTGTATGCTCCCGGATCCAGTGGCCATTCTGGGCAGCTCCCAAAGACCCTACCTGGGCTGAAGATGTTAAATTTTGGCAGGCACTGTATGGCAGCACGGGGCAGTAGAAAAGTGGATTTGCATTTTTCTGTCTTTTTTTTCCTTTTTTGTACAATAAAACATGAGGAAATCAGAACATTTCTTTAGCACTTTGATATCAGAAATAGAACTAAAAGCAGGAATTGGGATTATGATAATACTTGAAAAAATACTGAAAAAAAAGATACAGAATGAATGAAGTCAAACATATCAGTCACTTTTGCAGTGAAAGTGGAGTTGAATACGACAATACAGCACTGATACGTCACTGCTGTTAGGTTTGGGAGTTTGGATGGCCATTTTGAGCTGCAACAGCTGGTCGCAGGCTGGTCTAGTCCTGCACCAGTGCAAAAATACATGCATTAATGGGACTCCCAGAGCTGCCAAATCACATTGTGTGGTTCCTCATCCAAGTCCAGCTCATGGAACAGATGGAATATGGTGAAAGACGTCAGATCTCTGGCTCGTTGGTATATTTGTGCGAGTACATTAACGAGAGGGATAATTAGCAGAGCTGTTGGGTGTTACATGTTTACTTGTTGCTCTCACCTCTGCAGGAGGAACACCTTCAGGAGGATGACAGCGCAGAAGGACTTCCTGATCCAGTGCCACTTCCTTACCCAGCGGTTCCTCCTCAAAGTTCTTCCTCAGATCTGCAGGGCAAAATCATTTTATTAATTAGTTATTAGGTGCATTTGGAACATATATGTTCAAACTTAAAAGCACAACTGTAACTAAAACATATAAGCTTCACCAATGTGCATAATAAACTAAAGATAATGTAATGGTTGCGTATGCCACGCAATGCGAAAAAAAAAAACAGAACTTGTAGTGCACAGTTTATTTAATAGTAAATATGTTTATAATTAGCGTAACATTAATTTGTGGTTATAATAATTCATTAATAGTGGCATGGTGAGTATGTGTTCGGACATGTTGTGTATATGTGTGCACGATTTGATACATTATGCACAACTGCAATTGTGAAAACACTATTTACTCAATTATAAATTATGAACATGGTTAAATATGACTAGCTGTGGAATGCGCAATATTCAGTTAGTTAAAATGCATGAGACTGAAACTGCATGATAAATGCATGAACCTGGTTATTGTGCATTTAAAACAAATTTATTTGATTAATACTACTACAGAAATCTTCTGTTTCCTTTTTGCATCACTGACAAATTTGCATCAGGCTTATTAGTTTATGTTACAACTGTGTAATCCAAATGTACATACATTTTATTTTCAATTCAAATACATAAGTCTTAAATTCAGGCCTGTGTGTGTGTGTAGATTTTATATAGTCTTGTAGTCTTTAGTTTTAAAATTACTGTCAGTGTGAAGAGGGCATTAATGAAAAGTCTAGGGGAAACCACTGAGATTTTAAACGGATTGCATGTTTCTCTTTTTTTCTATGGACTCTAAAGCCAAAATATCGACTAAAATCCTCCCGTAGTCATAAAGTGGGTCAGAATGTGTACATGTATCACCAGGAAGGTAAACTGCCAAGCCATTTAATCTAACATTATCTGTGTCATATTTAGCAATGCGTTTTTTGGGTTCAGAGCTCCTCCATATAATAACTCAGGGCGTTGTTTGCACCGTGTACGTTCAACAGGAGTCGTGAGCGGCCTTTCTCTCTTGGAAGGATCCATATCACAGACCCAAGTGCTTATTAGACCCTGCTTGGTTGCTTCAGAGAATGGTTGTCTGCAGCCCCCAGGCAAAGCATCAACAAAGAGGAATTGCATTATCTTCCTCCACTACTCGATACCGCACCGAGGCTGTGGTATCCGCACGACCACCCACTCTACCTAAAACCCCTGGGACACGTGTTGATGCGAGTCGAATTGTATTTGCTCGTCAAAATTGCATTACTCTTGATGGAGGGCTTTCTTGCCCTCCTGACTACGGATGGCACAATTTCAAAACAATATTTGCATAAACGTTTATAGCTGTTATGACACGAAAAAGCTTTTGGAAGAAGGTGTCCATTGTGACAGCGGACTAGTCTTCGGTTCAGATGCTGGGAAATAAAATCTCTCTCAATAACGACGGCACTGCCAGTCATTTAGTTTCCTCAAAACAGATGTCATGCCTGTCTTCAGCAATCAGGCCTCGGCAAACATTAAGAGGTGAAGAGGGGTCTTTGACATTCGATTTAATTAAATAGGATTTAATGGGAATAGGAGAGGCACAAAGGATTAGATGGCCATCAAGTCCTGAGATGACATTGCCATGACTTTGAGAGGAAAACTCTGAAAGGAAAGAGTTTTTTTTAAAGGAATATTTCACCCTAGTACAATTACAATGAATGGGGACTGAGGCTTTCAAGCTCCAAAAAAGACTGAAGCACCATACAAATGACACAAAAGTGGTCCATGCTATATTGAAAGTGCTCAGAACTTGTATGGCACTTTGTGTGGAGGGACAGACTGAAAGTTATGTAGCACACAAACCGTTTGAACCACTTTTATAGTACCTTTTCAGAGCCCCTGGTCGCTGTAATCATTCTTGGGTGAGACGTTTATTTTTTTCTTCTAAGGGGAGCATTTCTTTAAAAGTCCTTCTCATTACCCTAAAGTAAATCTAGATAAATATCCATTCAGAATATTTACAAGCACCATACTGAGACAAATCCCAAATCCAGTTTAATCGCACAATGCTTTAATCATTGTTTTAGACAAAATATATATATATACACATGACTGTATTGTATCTTCCTTTAGACGCTACTTTAAAGAAAGGACATCTTCTCCTCTGTTTTGTGCTGACGTTTGTACTGAGCGAGGCGATGCGGTGGTGCGGTTTCCTGGTGTTTAATCACACAGAGATATCAAAACCACCAGGCCTCTTGAGGCAACTACAAAGTGTTACATTGCAGATTAGCAGATTTCCTTGCCACAGGCTCTTCCTGATCAAACTTCCCAATCAAACATTAAATAAGTCATATAAAACCAACTGAATCAATCAGCCTTGGGGAAAAACGAAACATAAGTGTTAGATTGATTGGCTAAATGGAATTTCAAAATAACTTTTAATAGAAAGTATATCGTTATCAAAACACTCTACGGTGGAGTGATAAAAAAGAGTGAATGCTACTGTGAAGTAGAGCACTTTAAAGACATTAGGGAAAAATTAATTTGGTTAGACATGCTTTTTTACCAAAACACATTATTTGCACAGTATTTGAGTATTAAGGTATTCAAATAAATGGAGTTAACATCTATGGGAGGAAATACCTGTTAAGTAGCTATTGTGTTTTCCACTCACAGCACCCATAGAGGTCAGCTGTTAATGTTATTTCCCCTTTCAGGGTCTGTATTTTTTAGTGGAAGATGGCAATTAACTCATTTGCTTTAACCCGTGATTCTCAATTGTTTTGCTTTGGGACTGAGATTTTACATTGGGGTTGAAATTGAAAATTAAATGATGCTCATACCAACATATTATTTAATTCAGTATACAAAATAACTAACTAACTAAATAAATAAAAATACTGAAATTAATTATTAGTATATTTTATTAAAGGGGTGGTTCATTGTTTTTTTTTTCTAGGCTTGATTGTGTTTATGGGGTGTAGTCTAACATGTGTTAATGCTTAATTTAAAAAAAAACACATTATTTTTCACATAATTTACCTTTATTCCACACCGCTCTGTCCCTTCTCTGAGAAACGTGCTGATCATTTCCTTCTTTAATGAAGCCCCTCCCTCAGAAATAGGTGATGGGCTCTGATTGGTTAGCTAGCCCAGTGTGTTGTGATTGGCTAAACCGCCTCTAGTGCACGTCTAATCGTCCCGCCCCTTGCCTCAGCGGCATGTACTCCGGATGTATTGTAAACAACGGCGTCGTTAATATCGCTTATCAGTTTGAGCCTGATTGAGAAGCAGAGGATATTATTGAAGAGGATCGTGCAGATCCTGTGCAAGCACGGCTTTTAATGGTAGGCCTATGTTTTTTGTTTGTTGTTGTCTCATACTTTAGACACACTGTTATTTGTAAATGCTACTGCTTATGTTAGCTTTTAATATACAGTTTTATCCTGATTAAAGCTTTAATACAGTATGGCAACTGCATACGCATCCATGTTTAACACTTCTCATAGCTATGTGAAAATAAGTGTATAATTGTAACAGTTCATTGTTGGAGCTGAGCTGAATGAGAGAGAGAGAGAGAGAGAGAGAGAGAGAGAGACACGGAGAGACTTTGACTTTAGACCGCTGCTTTAGAACACTGATTTTGAAACCAGAATCGCGATTCATATATGAATAGATTTTTACGTGCATTTACGTCCATTTTTGTTGATAATCAAGTATGCTTTTTTATTATTTAAGAAATTAATACATTTATTCAGCAAGGATGCATTAAATCGTAGTAAATACTTTTATATTGTTACAAAAATAAATAAATTCTACTATTTCATCAAATAAACCTGAAAAAAAAAATATATTATAAAAAAATATATATATTATAAATATAAATATATACAGTGGGTACGGAAAGTATTCAGACCCCCTTAAATTTTTCACTCTTTGTTATATTGCAGCCATTTGCTAAAATTTAGGGCTGCCATCGATTAATTTTGCAATCTTTAACGTGTTAAAATAATTTAACGCAATTAACGCAAAATTGCTGAAGCACAAATTATATTCTATCCCTTTAACCCACTTTTGCTTCTCTGCTTGCGATCAGATCATTTTAAGCTGCTGAACTCCGGGAAAGTTTTCAGTCCAATGATCCAGTAAGCGAATGCATTCAAACAATCCGTCCAAAACAGCGCTAATATAAAGGAAACCAGGCTGATTACATCAGAGATTGCAGAGAGAACAGAGACTCGAGTTGCGTTTTCAGTGAATTATTCATTCCAGTGTGTTTGACTTTAAAACTCTGTCATATTCTGTGATTGTCTCTGAAGAGCGCAAGCCCTCACACATTCAAATGTGTGAAGTACAGACTGAACGGATTGTCAACACATCCCACCACTGTATGGCCAGATGAGACGCAAACTACGTTTTCTCGACTGGATAACCAGTCTCGCTAGTAAAGTTTTGATGGATGAAGACGCTCTTGACGCACTGATCGCACATTGTATTTATGCATAGGCACAGACATTTCTGTACATTCACGTTGTTTCCACACACATTCATGATAATGTTTTGATTTGTCATGTTTATGTTGCTGTGTTTAGTTATACGAAAAGGATCCGTTTACTGTAGTAGATATATGCAGTCAGCAGGCGATTGTTTTTTTTTTTTTTGGCATCTCCATGTGGTCCTGTTCGGTATCGCAACTTGGCTTCTCTAAAATGTAAAAAAGCTCTTTGCTGTACACATATCATACAATTCTGATTTTTTTTCTTTCATATGTGCTTATATGGGCTCCTTATATCATTTGGTTCTTTGGAGTCCTTTTGGAGTTTCTAAGTGTCCTTTTTTCGAAAGGCATCTAAATTTATCTTGAAAAAATCTTGGTTAAAAATCTATAAAATCTATATAAAATCTATATAAAATCTATATAAAAAAATCTATATATATCATGGTTTTTACAAAAATCGGAAACTGTTTTCAACATTGATAATAATAATAATGTTTCTTGAGCAGCAAATCAGCATATTAGAATGATTTCTGAATAGTTATGTGACACTGAAGACTGGCGTAATGATGCAGAAAATTAATCTTCGCCATCACAGGAATAAATTATAAAATAAAATAAAATTAAGTTATTTTAAATGCTAATATTATTCACAATATTACGGTTTTACTGTATTTTTTTAACCAAATAAAAAAATATTGTCATCTCTCTCTGTAATATAAATATTTATTTATTTTGGAACTGTATCTTTATTATCTTCTTATTATATCTGCATTACACTGCATGATTAGTTGGAGTTTATTATTTGCATTTAGCTTTTGCATTTATTTTTTCCCCCCTCCAATCCAGATCAATACAGACCTGAGACCATTTTGGGGAAACCTCCCTACCAGTTAAAAACCACTATGCTCACATTTATCACACTCTCACAGATTATAAGACGGCATTCGGTCAAAATGTTGGTGTTCTAAGATAGCAGAGCTGAACTCACAGGCGATGCGCACATATGCCTTTTGGCTCTTCTGGGTTCCTGTAGTGCTCCAGGCCACACACTGACACCAGTAATCGTCCAGACCGAAGATCTTCTCCACCTGCTGTCTGGAGATGTCAATCTTCACCTGCATCACCGGCAGTCCTGGGACCAAACCAGACAAAGCAAACATGTTCAGCTCAGCGTCATTGACAGACAGAGAGAGGCAATCAGAAACAGTCCTTCAACTGAAGCGAACTGAGGCCAGGCCCTTGTAAAAACTGTTTAATTGTGTCAAACTTACGGTTAATGTGTGGCAAATTAGTTGGCAGAAATTAGCAGCTCTTTACTGGCAGTGGTGCATCAAAACTTTGGCAACAATGCAAAATTTATCACGGCTGTCAAACTTTTCACAGACGTGGCAAACTGTCCACTGTTTCCAAAGGTTTTTTGCAGGTTCACCATGTCCAGTGAAGAGCTGCCAACCATTTGAGATGAGGGAAAACAACTGAGCAAACTAATTTTGTGCAGATAAACATTTTTGTTGCTTGGTTAATTCATGGAATACTGACAGATGATTGAATGCTGTCACAATCATTGTTAGCTAAATGCAGGAAGTGTATGACATACGAAACCACCTCAAAATAGAAAATCCCAAACTCTAATATGCTGTCTGGGATGAATTAATAAATAAACAGATATTAATATTTATGTGAGCTTCCAGTGGGATATATTTTTCCTGGTTACTCAATCTGTGCATTTCCATTCAGACATGGGTGGCTAGGATTATCCCATCAAAGCTCAGAGGTCTTTTGTGAAACTAAAAATTAAGAGAGGACAAGAAAAAAAAGAGGGATACTTTGTCAGCTGCAGCAGGGTGAATAATGTCTATACAACTGGTGTGAAGTCATCCAACAAAATGATTCATTTTCAGCTGACAATTACAAATTAACATAATCAGAGTTAACCAACACCAACAACACAAACGGTGTAATTTATAATAAAGCTCTCTTTGAGGATGAAGGGAGGGGGTTAGACAAAGATAATTTTTCTTTTCATTATCTCTGGACCATCTCCTCAACCCCTAAGTCTCTCTGATATTTTCCTCCATGGCTATCGCTCATCTCAACACGAAAGCGTGACCTTGAAGATATCCACATCCCCCTCAACAACCACCTTCCTCCTAATTTTTCCCATAATCTCTCTCCCTCCAACCTTAATTATCTCTCCATCCAACCTTGTTCATCCCTTTTTCTCCCGTTCTCTCGTTTGGCTTGTAGGGCCGTATTAAATCAGTTGTATTTTTTTCCCCAAATTCCCTTTCATGTTTTTCCAAATTCCATTTTTTGATTTTTCTGGATTCAGTTTTTTGCATTTAAAATTTTTTCTAGACTCTGTTTTACTGGTTAAATTAAAGTTCATTAATTAAAAAGCATGTCTAATTAATTGAAATCACGAAATTTACACAATTTAACAGCAATCTATTAAAAGTTCAACAAAAAATTCATTTTTAAGGCCCTATGAAATACTTATTTCCCCCCTCACATTTAGGTTTTTATTTTTAAATACTGTGTTTTCCATACATTTTTTGGATTCCATTTTAATGGTTTAATTAAATGTTAATAATCAAAAGCATCATGTGTTGTGTATTTAAATTTTTCTAGTAAAAAATACAGTTAAATAATTTTCTGGAAAAAAATATTATTTCTGGTAAATAAATAAAAAATCTTTCAGTAATAATTTTATTATTATTATAATTATTAGTTGTATTATCAATAGTAATGTATTGTAATGTATTTCTGTCACAGTTTCTTCAAAACCGAACCTTTATTTTGACGGGTTGTTGTGAAGACCTTTAAGTTTCTCTGTTCATATGATATAATGAGAGTTTTCTCAAAAGAAACAATAAAATGCTCATAAAGTGACTCTCAGAGCAGTTCTAGACATTATACTCATGTGTTCATGTACTTGTATATATATATTTGGCGATTGCTTTGCTTCATATTTCTGGGCATTTCAAATCCTTTTATGTACCTCATACAGTAAATTGTTTTATTAATTTTTGTGCATGATATGAACATTCTAAATAATTTTGGGGTACCATTCAAATGTTTAAACAGATTTTATTACATCATGTGTGCCTTCAAATGCTCAAACAGATTTCTACCCATTTCAAATGTTTTCTGTGCTGGCGTTTGAACTCATAATTAGATTTTTTTTGTATAATTAAACATTTAAATAATTTTAGCTTTAAGAAATTTTACATAATAAGTGAGATCAAATGTGCAAATCTATTTTCGTCCATATCTGGACATTCAAAACATTTTCACATGTTCTTTGGTAGTGAATCACAGGTACATTTAAAAACATTAAAATCAATGTTTGGGTACAATTAAATGTTTGAATAGATTATTGGGCATCATTCCAACATTATAATTGTTTTATGGGCATCATTTGAAAGCTTGAATATATTTTTAGAGCATTAGAGCTGCATTCAAATTGATTTTTGGACATCATTTCAATGTTCAAATATATATATATTTTTTGCATCAATGGAATATTCACAATAAAAATTTGAACCACGTCATAATAAGCACAAAACCACATTCTGCAAATAGTTGTGGTGTGGTCAGACGCTCCGGCAATGTGACAGAAATGCATCATCTCAAATCCTGCTGGTCATTTGAGTTCTTGCTCCAACCTGCCTGTCACAAATCAATGTACATCACATCCATCACCGCTTGGCAGAGAGTCTCTAGGAGGAAAGAAATAGGGCAGCACAGAGAGCTTGTGTCTCACTATCTTGGCAGACATTAGGAGCACATGCAATTACTGTTAGATTTAAACCACCCTCCAGTGTTACTCAGGGCGTCAACATCAAAATAGACCTCTCAGACAATCTTGCTCTCCTCTGACACAACGTCTGGACGTTAATCCTCGCTGATGGCTCGAAACACTTTTGCAACGGGTCAGAAATATGAGATTCAATGCAAAAATCTCTAATCCAGACAAAAATAAGTGCACTGAAAATAACACACTCTCAATTAATTGCTCCGCTCACATTGCATTGAATTCAGATTGCGTAACCAATTCAAAATGAGCGGAAATAGTTATGATATTAGACAACTAAAAGGGGTGATTTTTTTCAGAGAATGTAATTATCGTTCGCATTAAATCATAAAATACAATTAAGGGAAACAGGCGTAGTCCTGAAATAGTCAGAGGAAAAAGCTATCTTAAACACTGATTGTTTTATTAATTGCTTTTTGTTTCTTTTAGCAGCAATTACCCGGATTTCTGACCTCATACTCCCTCTGCGCTTCACGGCGAACCGCTGAGGCCGCCACATTCAGTTTCATTCACTTTTGTGACTATGCCACATGGCCTGCACCGCTTCTCAGGCGTGAAAATTCACTTTTCCTGCATGACAGATTTAGCTGCATGATAGGCCAGGATAATACTGTAATGCAGATGTGTATAATGAGTAATTAACCGAGTATGAAGTCTTTGACTAGGAACACCATTAAAACCTTCACCCCTGAGCCCTTGAGCGAGGTCGCTGTGGCAACCCTCCCTTTGGCGTCTGAGAGGTCACATGGTTAAAGAATAATTGACTCTTAGACTGAGTGTCACACGCGAACACCCGCTTCCAATACTGTGAAACCCCCACAGAAAGAGGAAATTATTCAAAAATGAAGACACATTTATTAGACCCTCAAAGCAAAAAGGCCCTGTGGAGATGGGATCGTAATTCTGAGTTATTGCTTTATGCTTTTGTCGTGTTGTGCGTCTGCATACTCAATACATGCGCACACCTTCAAAATTAATTGTTAAAAATTCATAACCCTTCCCATTTTTCTACGTTGACATCTAACAAATTATTAAATACAGATGTAAAAATTCAGAAAAAGAATAATAATGATGCTGCTTTCCATTCTGGGGTGAGCTGAACCGAGTGCATTTTTCATAACAGACCACAAGGTCAGCCAAGTTCCCAGGCATTTCCCAGAATTCAATGCATGTATCATAAGGAATACTGAAAATGAAAAAAAAAACACAGAAATACTTTTTTCCCATTTTTTTCTTTTTCATTTTAAACTTGATACAGTGTTTTAAAAATGTAACACTCTGAGAGATTCTGCAAAAAAATAGCGAGACTATTATAGTGAAAACATCAGCCTTTAACTCGTAAAGTTTTATTTTTTCTGAGCTAAACCTTTTAAACCAGGGCTCACTAGAGGGCTTTAGAAAACTTCCATGACTAAAAAGTAATTAATACAATATTTTAAAACAATCTAACTAAATTAAAATGCTAAAAATGTAAACTGAAATGTATTTCTCATATAATATTATATCATAATATAATAAAAAATAAATAATAAAATACGTTTTTTTATTTAAGAAGATTCTGTTCTTTAAACATAAAAAATATTCCTAGTACTCAGTACTCATAGCTTCTGTTAATACAAAAAAATAATAAATAAAATTAAATTAATAAAATAAAATGAGGTAGCTAAAAACATGATATACATTCCCCAACACTTATTGAAACTTAATATAATTCTTACATAGTACCCATTCTGTATAGGGATAGTTCCCCCCAAAAAATAAAATTAAAATATTTAAAAAATTAAACAAAATTAATAACTTGCCATCATTTATTCACCTTCATGTCTTTCCAAAGCTGTATGACTTTCCTTATTTAGTGGAAAATAAAATATATGGTTTGCAACCAAACTAAATAGTTTCTAGACAACATTACATTTTGGGACAACATGAGAGAGAGTAAATCACTACAGAATTTCCATCATTTCAATCTTAAACTATCCTTTCAACTGTGCTATTTGTAGAAAGCCCAGAGTCTCACAGAAAAAAAATCATGGATGAGATGTTTCCTCCAGGGAACTAGCAGGGTCCTGGTCGGATTCGACGGTGCATTTACAGTAGAATCCAGGGATATGATAACATCCCGTTCTGACACACTACACCATAACTTTATCTCAGTCCCAGCGTGACTTTGCAGTGACTGCTCTATATATTATTGCAGCGGTGAACATCTGTTCCTTGTGTCTGCACCAACAGCTCCCAAAAGGAGCGGCAAACGCTGCTAGAGCGACTAGGTGGCAAAGAGATGCATTATTCAAGTATGTTATCCTTCCAAATGT